GCTGCATCTATTGAGATGATCATATGGCTTTTATGTTTCAATTTGTTAATATGGTGTATCACATTGATTGATTTTTAAATATTGAAGAATCCTTGCATCCCTGGGATAAATCCCACTTCATCATGGTGTTCGATCCTTTTAATGTGTTGGATTCTGTTTGCAAGTATTTTGTTGAGGATTTTTACATCTATATTCATCAGTGATATTGGTCTGTAATTTTCTTTTTTTGTAGTATCTTTGTCTGGTTTTGGTATCAGGGTGATGGTGGCCTCATAAAATGAGTTTGGGATTGTTCCTTCCTCTGCAGTGTTTTGGAAGAGTTTGAGAAGGATGGGTGTTGGCTCTTCTCTAAATGTTTGATAGAATTCACCTGTGAAGCTATCTTGTCCTGGACTTTTGTTTGTTGGAAGATTTTTAATCACAGTTTCAATTTAATTACTTGTGATTGGTCTGTTCATATTTTCTGTTTCTTCCTGGTTTCGTCTTGGAAGGTTATACCTTTCTAAGAATTTGTCCATTTCTTCCAGGTTGTCCATTTTATTGGCATGGAGTTGCTTGTAGTAGTCCCTTAGGATGCTTTGTATTTCTGTGGTGTCTGTTGTAACTTCTCCTTTTTCATTTCTAACTTTATTGATTTGAGTTCTCTCCCTCTTTTTCTTGATGAGTCTGGCTAGTGGTTTATCAATTTTGTTTATCTTCTCAAAGAACCAGCTTTTAGTTTTACTGATCTTTGCTATTGTTTTCTTTGTTTCTATTTCATTTATTTCTGCTCTGATCTTTATGATTTCTTTCCTTCTGCTAACTTTGGGTTTTGTTTGTTCTTCTTTCTCTAGTTCCTTTAGGTGTAAGGTTAGATTGTTTACTTTAGATTTTTCTTGTTTCTTGAAATAGGCTTGTATAGCTATAAACTTCCCTCTTAGAACTGCTTTTGCTGCATCCCATAGGTTTTGGATAGTCGTGTTTTCATTGTCATTTGTCTCTAGGTATTTTTTGATTTCCTCTTTGATTTCTTCAGTGATCTCTTGGTTATTTAGTAATGTATTGTTTAGCCTCCATGTGTTTTTTTTTTTTTACGTTTTTTTCCCTGTAATTCATTTCTAATCTCATAGCGCTATGGTCAGAAAAGATGCTTGATATGATTTCAATTTTCTTAAATTTATTGATGCTTGATTTATGACCTACGATGTGATCTATCCTGGAGAATGTTCCGTGCCCATTTGAGAAGAAAGTGTAATCTGCTGTTTTTGGATGGAACGTCCTATAAATATCAATTAAATCTATCTGGCCTATTGTGTCATTTAAAGCTTCTGTTTCCTTATTTATTTTCATTTTGGATGATCTGTCCGTTGGTGTAAGTGAGGTGTTAAAGTCCCCCACTATTATTGTGTTACTGTCTATTTCCTCTTTGATAGCTGTTGGCAGTTGCCTTATGTATTGTGGTGTTCCTATGTTGGGTGCATATATATTTATAATTGTTACATCTTCTTCTTGGATTGATCCCTTGATCATTATGTAGTGTACTTCCTTGTCTCTTGTAACATTGTTTATTTTAAAGTCTATTTTATCTGATATGAGTATTGCTACTCCAGCTTTCTTTTGATTTCCATTTCCATGGAATATCTTTTTCCATCCCCTCACTTTCAGTCTGTATGTGTCCCTAGGTCTGAAGTGGGTCTCTTGTAGACAGCATATATATGGGTCTTGTTCTTGTATCCATTCAGCAAGCCTGTGTTTTTTGGTTGGAGCATTTAATCCACTCACATTTAATGTAATTATCGATATGTATGTTCCTATTACCATTTTCTTAATTGTTTTGGGTTTGTTTTTGTAGGTTCTTTTCTTCTTTTGTGTTTCCCACTTAGAGATGTTCCTTTAGCATTTGTTGTAGAGCTGGTTTGGTGGTGCTGAATTCTCTTAGCTTTTGCTTGTCTGTAAAGCTTTTGATTTCTCCATTGAATGTGAATGAGATCCTTGCTGGGTAGAGTAATCTTGGTTGTAGTTTCTTCCCTTTCATCACTTTAAGTATATCATGCCACTCCCTCTGGCTTGTAGATTTTCTGGTGAGAAATCAGCTGTTAACCTTACGGGAGTTCCATTGTGTTATTTGTCATTTTTCCCTTGCTGCTTTCAGTAATTTTTCTTTGTCTTTAATTTTTGCCAATTTGATTACTATGTGTCTCGGCATGTTTCTCCTTGGGTTTATCCTGTATGGGACTCGCTGTGCTTCCTGGACTTGGGTGGCTATTTTCTTTCCCATGTTAGGGAAGTTTTTGACTATAATCCCTTCAAATATTTTCTTGGGTCCTTTCTGTCTCTCTTCTCCTTCTCGGACCCCTATAATGTGAATGTTGTTGCATTTAATGTTGTCCCAGAGGTCTCTTAGGCTGTCTTCATTTCTTTTCATTCTTTTTTCTTTATTCTGTTCCGCAGCAGTGAATTCCACCATTCTATTTTCCAGGTCACTTATCCGTTCTTCTGCCTCAGTTATTCTGCTATTGATTCCTTCCAGTATAGTTTTCATTTCAGTTATTGTATTGTTCATCTCTGTTTGTTTGTTCTTTAATTCTTCTAGGTCTTTTTAAAACATTTCTTGCATCTTCTTGATCTTTGCCTCCAACCTTCTTCCATGGTCTTGGATCATCTTCACTATCATTATTCTGAATTCTTTTTCTGGAAGGTTGCCTATCTCCACTTCATTTAGTTGTTTTTCTGGGGTTTTATCTTGTTCCTTCATCTGGTACATAGCCCTCTGCCTTTTCATCTTGTCTGTCTTTCTGTGAATGTGGTTTTTGTTCCACAGGCTGCAGGATTGTAGTTCTTCTTGCTTCTGCTGTCTGCTGTCTGGTGGATGAGGCTATCTAAGAGGCTTGATGGGAGGGAGTGGTGGTGGGTAGAGCTGAGTGTTGCTCTGGTGGGCAGAGCTCAGTAAAACTTTAATCCACTTGACTGTTGATGGGTGGGGCTGGGTTCCCTCCCTGTTGGTTGTTTGGCCTGAGGCAACCCAACACTGGAGCCTACCTGGGCTCTTTGGTGGGACTAATGAGGGACTCTGGGAGGGCTCATGCCAAGGAGTACTTCCCAGAACTTCTGCTTCCAGTGTCCTTGTCACCATGGTGAGCCACAACTTCCCCCCCACCCCCCGACTGGCCTCTGCAGGAAACCCTCCAACACTAGCAGGTAGGTCTGGTTCAGTCTCCCCTGAGGTCACTGCTCCTTCCCCTGGGTCCCAATGCACACACTACTTTGTGTTTGCCCTCCAAGAGTGGAGTCTCTGTTTTTCCCCGGTCCTGTCAAAGTCTTGCAATCAATTCTCACTAAGCTTCAAGGTCTGATTCTCTAGGAATTCCTCCTCCCATTGCCAGACCCCCAGGTTGGGAAGCGTGATGTGGGGCTCAGAACCTTCACTCTGGTGGGTGGACTTCTGTGGTATAAGTGTTCTCCAGTCTGTGAGTTACCCACCCACCAGTTATAGGATTTGATTTTACTGTGATTGCACCCCTCCTACCATCTCATTTTGGCTTCTCCTTTGTCTTTAGATGTGGGGTATCTTTTTTGGTGAGTTCCAGTTTCTTCCTGTTGTTGATTGTCCAGCAGCTAGTTGTGATTCTGGTGTTCTTGCAAGAGGGAGTGAGAGCACGTCCTTTTACTCCGCCATCTTGGTTCCTCTCCTCCTAAGGAAGTCTTAAATGTCCTTCAAGTGCATTAGAAAGTAGATACTTAACATATGATACCTGCGTTGTTTATGTCACAGAGTACTGGCATTTTTACAGAAAATATAAGTCTCTACAGTGTGTACATTGTGTACTTACAGTTAACTGATGAGTATAATGAAATAAAAGCGGGTATTTCTTCTTATAATCCCAGGAGAAAAATGGAACCATCTTCTGGGAGAAGTTTGGGTTGTGCCATCATGGATAAGGTAGACTATTAACCTATAATTATCTTCAAGGAAATTTTCTTTGGACTTGTCTGAACATGGGATGAACAGTGAGTAATGTTGGGTAGACGAAAAGAACTAGGCTCTGGAATTTGTCCTTTTCAAAGGATAGGAGAGAATAACTGTTTTCAGTTTCTGGATCTTTCATGAAGCATATGAAATCTGTATTAGTCCCTTTCTACCCTGTCAGTAGTATTTATTTTTTACTCATTTAAATGGCAGTGCATATGATTCAGCAGTGTGTATTGAGTCCGTCCTTCTTATTCATGGATTTTGTATTTGCAAGCTCACCTTCTTATGCTTTTTGCATTTCTGTGCTTTTTGTTGGTGATTTTGCTGTTGGAAATGGCTCCCCAGTGTAGTACTGAAGTACTGCCTAGTGTTCCTAAGTGTAAGAAGGCTGTGATGTACCTTACGGAGAAAATGCATGTCTTGGGGAAGCTTCGTTCAGGCATGAGTTACAATGCTCTTGGCTGTGGGTTGAATGTTAACAAATGAACAATGTATACTAAATGAGGTGTCTTTAAATGGAAACACACGTAGAACCATACAATAAGGTTGTGTATTGATTGATTGGTGCAAGTGTTGGGGCCAGAAACTAGCAGAAACCTAATCCTGTATATCCTCTTGGAGCAATGGTTCAGCATCACTAATTTAGTGTTGGTGGCAACTATATAGAACATAACTACTACAAATAATGAGAATCAACTGTATTAAACCTGTTTAATAACTAGTTAGTGGATGAGGCACTAGAGATTCACAGGCCATAGGCACAGTTCCTGTCCCCAGAGGGCTCACCATCGATGGGAGAGATGGACTCACAGTGGAATGATTAGAGAAAGTGCTGTGACAGACGCAGGCAGTGCTAAGGGGAACTTGACTTTGCCTGGAGGTGTCCAGGTAATAGCACGCAGATCAGTAGCTGCATGTCCGAGAAAAGGGTTGAAACAGTAAAGAAAAGACATGCAGCATGGAGAGACGTGAAGTAAATGAGGTTTTATGTTTATTTTTAAACAGAGCATAAGTTGGTGGGATTCTAACTCATGTTGGTACCATGTTGTTGCAGAAATACACTGTGGTGAAATGCTTCGACCTCTTGCCAAAATGAACACTGAGGAAAAATGAAGAACAGTGAAGAACGCCAACGAAAAGCTGCAGACCAGAAATAGCCACACTCCTCTGGAGTCTGATTCATCCACAGCCAGCATAAAAAAGGTTGGGGAATAAATTACATTATGTTTTTTTCCCTTTAAATTTTTATTTTAACTGATACAATGGTGAGAAGACAAAAAAGTACCTTTTTTATTCAACATATACTTATTGGGTGACTTCTACATGCTTGCACATTGTTCTAGGCAATTAGGGATACAATAGTGAACAAAAAAGACAGGGGTATGGCTTTGAAGGAGCAGACATTCTAGTGGGAGGAGGTAAGTAAGTAGAATAGGCCCTCTGTATTCTCGGGTTCTGCATCCTCATTGAATCCTTGAATGGGGAACCCAGGATACAGAGGGCCAACTTTGCTGTGCCATTTTATATAAGGGACTTAAGCATCTGCGGATTTTGATATCCACAGGGGTCCTGGAACTAATCACCCCCGGATACCAAGGGATGATTGTAAATCAATGCAAAGGAAACTGGCAGCCGTTTATAATGTTTATAAACATGATAAACAGGTTAATGAGGTAGAGAATAAATAAAGGGCTACTTCCGTTTGAGTGTCAGAGCAGACCACTCAGAGAATTTTGAGTTGAATGATGGAAAAGAGCCAGCATGGTAAAAGTTTGAAGATAGGACCTTGCATGTTCTGTGAACCAGAATCCAGACATATGTTCAAGGCTCGATTGGAAAGGAGGCCTTTATTGCTTTGAGAGGGTATTTGGAGAAGGATGACGTAGAGAATAAGTCGGAGAGACTTTAGACATGGAAAAGTATCTTGATTGTACTCCAACGAAGGTAGAAACCATTGGAGAGTTATTAGAGAAGTGAATTTATATTTTTAAAAGGCCATCCTGCTTTATTTAGCTAAGGGGTAGGGGGCTCAGTAATAGTGGGAAACACGGTGCCATCACCTAGGCGAGAGATGATGATGAGTTGGCTTACGGACCTGGCATGGGGTATAGATGGATTTAAAATAGATTTTGGATCTCCTTCAACCAGATGAAACTAGATAATCATCAATGCTCTTTATGAATCCCCAAACATAATTCTAATTGTCATATGTAAGGTATGCTGTCATTTGTGCTTTAATGTACAGTAGTCAACTGGTAAATTTTTTTGCTGTTTCAAAGAACAGCTTATGATGTATATATTTGTGGCTTCTGAAACTGAGAGGCGCTTGATGTCACACTGTGAAAAGACATAAAATTCTGCCCTGAAATCTCATGGTCAAGGCAGGTTATCTTGCAACATTTTGAGACTTGAGCCTTCCAGAGGTTTTTGCAACAACTCTCTTCCTTGCTGCATGGTTCCTGACTTCTGAGAACAGTGTTACATGAGCCACAGAGAGGTAGCTCATGTGAAGGGTACCCTTCTGGATAATGAGTTTTTAAAGGACTAGTAGCTTAGGTTAGTCAAGCATAACTCAAAGACTAAAACTTTCATACTGGATTATTCCTAGGTGGAACATTAAAGGAAAAATGAAAATACTACTTAAATTGGTGTTTTAAGAAGACAAGAATATGTAAGGGATTAATGTCCAAAATATACAAATAGCTCCTACAGTTCAATATCAAGAGAACAGACAACCCAATTTAAAAAATGGGCAGAAGACCTAAACAGACATTTCTTCATAGAAGACATACAGATGGCCAACGGGCACATGAAAAGATGCTCAACATCGTTAATTATTAGAGAAATGCAAATCAAAACTACAATGAGGTACCACCTCATACCAGTCAGAATGGCCATCATCAAAAAGTCTATAAATAGTAAATGCTGGAGAGGGTGTGGAGAAAAGGGAACCCTCCTACACTGCTGGCAGGAATGTAAACTGATACAGCCACTATGGAAAACAGTATGGAGGTTCCTTAAAAAACTAAAAATAGAACTACCATATGATCCTGAAATTCCACTCCTAGACATATATACGGAGAAAACCATAATTCAAAAAGATGCATGCAACCCAATATTCACTGCAGCACTATTTACAATAGCCAAGACATGGAAGCAGCCTAAATGTCCATCGACAGATTAATGGATAAAGAAGATGTGGTATATATATACAATGGATATTACTCAGCCATAAAAGAAAGAAAGAATTCTATTTGCAGCAACATGGATGGACCTAGAGATTATCATACTAAGTGAAGTAAGTCAGACAGAGAAAGGCAAATATCATATGATATCACTTATATATGGAATCTAAAAAAATAATAGAAGTGAACTTATTTACAAAATAGAAACAGACTCACAGACAGAAAACAAACTTATGGTTACTGAAGGGGGAAGGAGGCGGAGAGGGATAAATTAGGAGTTTGGGATTAACAGATACATACTACTATATATAAAATAGATAAGCAACAAGGACATACTGTATAACACAGGCAACTATATTCAATATCTTGTAATAACCTATAATGGAAAATAATCTGAAAAAGAATATATATAATATACACACATATATGCATGTATGTATAACTGAATCATTTTGCTGTACACCTGAAACATTGTAAATCAACTATACTTCAGTTTAAAAAAACAAAAAGATAGGAATATGTGGATTCAAGCCATGTTTGCCAGAGAAACTAATGCTCCCCACAGACGGGGCTTCATGTGTTGGAGTGTGTGACCATTGAGCAAAGCTCACAGGGGCTTGGTGGGAGGAAAAGGAATTATGCAGTGACCTTGGCAGGTGGGTCCAAGATTTCAAGCCCACAGCCACTGTTGGAGCATGGACTGACTTCGAGTCTGTGTTTGGAAGGGTTTTCATGAAATGGAAACCCAGCCGAACGGCGCTTTAAGAGCTCAGCAAAGTACTGAGCCCAGCTTTCCAAGAATCATAACTTTTGGAAACGGTTCTAAATTTGTGTGCTGTAGACCCTTCCTTCCTTCACTCCAAACCCCTATCAAAAGGCTTTGGTTGTCAGAAAAGAGCCTCAGTGCAGCAGTTATATAGTGTCAGATAATTGTAAAGACTCTTGAGATGCCACAAAGTATACACATAAAAGCAAAGAATAGGGTCCAGCAGGAGAAAGCAAGCTCAGCAAACATCTGAGAGGGCTGAGACTTCCAGGTACAGCCCCCACTCCATCACACAGGGTGTACTTTGTCTTCTGATCATGAACCACCAAGATACATGTGTCTCAGAAGAGCCAAGGCTCAAACTCACTGAGGGGTATTTTATATTCCACAACTCAGGTAGCCAAAAGCAGACTTTGCAAACAGGTAAACAGGTGCAAACCATCAATCCGTACAGTTTCAAGAAACAGTATAGACAAGCTGGTACAGGATGCCTGGGGTGGGTTTCGACTTTTAACAGCACATTATAAATCACTAGCTAATGCATTTCACCTCTGTCTTGGCCAAGCATCAATACCATGGTTTCAGATGCCTTTCAAGATGAGCACAGAGTTACCCAAGATTAACTACAAGTTAACTCTGTCATCATATACTCAGAAAATTGAGCCATGATGAAAACATCCAAGAAGACTAAAGATAGCACACCAAATTCTGTGCTTGGTTTTGTCATCACTGGGCTGGATACAACTCTTTGATTAGCTGGAGAGATGATTAAAAGGCTAGGCTTTCAAGTGGAAGTCAGAATTCCTGGAAGAAGTGGTTAGATTCTGAAGCAATAAAGGTAAAATAAAGCTAAGAGTAATATTGTTTTAAGTTGATTTCCCTAGAATCAGACAGTGATTCTAAATTTGGATACTGGTATGTGTTCGGGGGTGATGCTAGTATACCTTTGTAGGGGAGTAGGGATGTGAGATGGGGAAGAGAAGAAAGAAAAGGTCCTTTGTCACTGCTGTGACCAAGGCACACAATCTCACTAGGTAATTCTGGGATATAGTATAGAACATACCTTGGATTTATCCTAACCAAGGGCAAGAAAGTTGGGATACGTAGCCACCTTCTTCCATCTGCCATGGTTGAGGGCTGCTTCTCTGGGTGGGAGTTAGGGGTGTTAACTCCCTGGCATTTGTGGCCTGAAATGTGTGTGGACCAAGGAAGCCCTTAGGCAAAGAGTTCCAGGTGTTTCCATTGGAAGCCACCATCAGATCAGCATGCATAGAAATGATGATGCCAAGGGGTTATGGATGGAGCATCTACAGTTTCGCCTGCAAGATGTGACAACAGTGATGATGATCATGATCCTATTAACAGATCATAGATCATATTAATTAATTATATTTGCTGAGTAACTCTAAGCCATGTACTATGTACTCAATGCTTTATGAACATTTTATCATTTAATTCTTATTTGTTGAACACTCACTCTGTGCCAGGTTGGGGGCAGAGGGAATATATATCTTATCACTACAATCCTGCAGCATATACATTATTCTAGCCTTCAGTTTATACATGGGCAGATAAAGTTGAGTGAGGTTAACCAAAATCTCTGGAGTAACACATATAGGAAACAGAGTTGGGATTCAAATTCTGGTTTGTCTGCCTCCAAAACAATCCCTTGACCATCATTATAATCCTTAATTAATTAATTAATCATTGATGTTTTTCTGACACCCATTTATTGAAAAGTTGGCAGGTGCTATTAGGTTTGGGGGATACAAAATAAAAATTGCTCCTGTTTTCAAAGAGCTGGAACATTTGTGGAAGAGAAATACAAGATACTATGTAGTGATATAAGGGGCTTTGATTTAAGTATGTTGCAGCTATTAAATAGGATCAAGAAAGAATATACAATGTTGCCACATAACAAATAACTCCATAACTTAGTAGCTTAAGACAATAAGCAGTATTATTGCTCACGAGTCTATGGTTGACTTGAGGAGTTCTGATCTGGGCTAGGTTTGGCTGATCTCAGCTAGATTTGCTCACTTGTCTGCAATTAGCTGACTGGTTGGCCAGGGGTTGGATAGTCTGAGATGGCTTCACTCGCATTTCTGATAATTGATCGGAAGTAGCTGGGGCAACTCAGCTCTCCAGCAGGCTAGCCCAGGCTCAGTCATGTGGGCTGAGGAGGGTTTAATAGAATGAATGAAAGTGTGCAAGGTTTCTTGAGGCCTAGGCTCAGAACAGTCACTTCTGCT